TTTACAATAGCCAAACTATGGAAGCAGCCCAAGTGTCTATCATTAGGTGATTGGATAAAAAAAATGGTTTTACATATATAGAAATAATTGTATTTACAATGTGTGCATACATACGTACAGTGGAATACTGCCATTAAAAAGAATGAAATCTTGCCATTTGCAACAACATGGATAGAGCTAGAGAGTATAATGCTTAGCACAATAAGTCAAAGACAAATACCACGTGATGCAGTTTGTATGTGCAATTTAAGAAACAAAGTAAACAAGCAAAGGAAAAAAAAAGGAGAGAGAAACAAACCAAGAAACAGACTCTTAACTATAGAAAACTGATGGTTATGGGAAAGGGGGTAGAATGAGGAAAATCAGGGATGGAGATTACAGGATACACTTTTCATGATAAAAAAAAAGATTTAAAAAAATGAAACTACACTATGCTAAAAAAGGAAAAAATCTTGCAGATTAAGATTTTTAAAGATGAGACAAACCAAATGTAATGTGTTACCCTTGATTGGATTCTAGATTGAAAGATATTCTGAGGACAAATGGACAATTAAGGAAATTTAATGTGGAATGGATATTATTTTACATTAAGGAACTGTTAATTTTCTGAAATGTGAAGGTGGTACTGTGGTTATATTAGACAAGTCCTTGTTTTTAGGAGGTGGATGTCAAAGCATTAGGATTTTATTTTCATGATATCTGATTTACTTTGAATGGTTTGTTAAGAGAGGGAGTTAGAGTATGAGGATAATTTGGTTGAGGATAATTTGGTTGTGACATCTGTCACCCCATTGATCACCAGGGTTCATCTGACTGATCTGGCTGGGTAGGTGAGTCCCCTTTCTCCCTCACAGCTCCATGTGTATCCCTCCAAAAATTGTGTGCTGGATTGAAGAGGACGACCTTCCCAATAAAGGATGACCATTTTTCAGTCAAAGGGTATATGAGTAGTCTGGTCCCCTGCTAGAACCTCCAGACAAGCTCTCAAGGTCTGATTGTAGGGGAAGGGTAGTCAAGCTTCCAAAACATCAGACACATCCAAAAAAGGTGCTGCAGGTAGCAGTTATTTAAAAATAAAGGCGGGGGTGAGGTGGGGTGGTGGAGAGTAAATGTGGCACGATGTTTACTTTTGAATCAAAGTAGTAGGTATTTGGGTATTCATAGTATTGTTCCTTTTATTTGTATGTATGTTTAGAATTTTTTTATATTAAAATAACAATATAAAATGAATCTCAGATGTACTTCTATTAAAACTCTGTATTGGCTTCCCATTCTCAAAGATGAAGACCTTACAATGGCCTGGAAGATCCTATTTAATTTGTTCCTTGTTCTCCTCATCTTTCTTACTTTATCTTTTACCACTCTCTCCCTCAGTCTCTTGGCTTTAATCACACTAGCACTTTCTTACCTTAAGACCTTTGCTTTAATTCTTCTTGGAATTTCTTTACTTCTGCATCATCACTTGGCTAATTTCTTCTTTACCTGAAGTCTGCGTAAATCTCACCTTTTCTGAGGTGCCTGGGTAGCTCAGTCAGTTGAGCAACCAACTCTTGATTTTGGCTCAGGTCATGATCTCATAGTTGTGTGATGGAGCCTGCTTGAGATTCATTCATTCATATTCATTCTCTCTCTCTCAAATTAAAAAAAAAAAAAACCCAAAACCTGAAACCTACTTCCTTTTTTATCCTCCCAGTTTTCCTCATCCTGCTCTACTTATTTTTTTTTTCAGTACTGACCACTTTCTAATGTACATATAATTTATCAGTGTTTTATATTTACTATTTATTGTTTATGTCCCTCACATGCCTGAATCTAGTCTAAATCAAATGAGTCACTTGCCTTGGGTGCAAAATTTAAGCCTCCCCTCAAAAACCCTCCACAATTAAAATAATTCAATACAAGATTTTTTTAGTGAAATATTTATGCCAAAAAAAATTCTAATAGCATTTTAAATAGAAACAGAATCTGATAGGTCATTTTGGAACCTGAGGCAAAAGGCAAAAATATGTGCCTATAAATATAATGTATTTTTAATGGTTAATAGTTTTGATGAAAATATTATTGGTAAGCTGTTTTCATGAAAGCCAGGAAAGTAAAATTATAATACATTCATGTTTTGATATAAATAGAGTATTTAACACTAAAATAGTGTTGAGTTTTAATGTATACTTTTAAAATTTTCAGTATTTTTTCAACTGCTTTGTTATTCTGGAAAAAGTTAACCATTGAGAAATTTTTTTGTCTGTTTTTTCTTTTATTTATTTTTGATAGAGCATGAGCAGGAGAGAGGCAGAGAGGGAGACACAGAATCTGAAGCAGGCTTCAGGCTCTGAGCTGTCAGCACAGAGCCCAACATGGAGCTCAAACCCATGAAATTTGAGATCATGAGCTGACCTGAAGTCAGATGCTTAACTGAGTAAGCCACCTGGGCACCCTAAGAAATGTTTGCTTTTTTTTGACATTTATTAATTTTGAGAGACAGAAAGAGAGCACAGGCAGGGGAAGGGCACAGAGAGAGAGAGACATAGACTCTGAAGCAGGTTTCAGGTTCTGAGCTGTCAGCACAAAGCCCAATGCAGGGCTCAAACCCACGAATCATGAGATCATGACCTGAGCCCAAACTAAGAGTCTGACACTTAACCAAATGAGCCCCCAGAAATGTATTTTTTTAATATTGAGGTTCATAGTTTTCCTTTTGCCTCAGGTTCTAATAGTAGTATTAACTTCTCTCTTTATTTAAATTTTTGATATTTTGCTTATCATGAAAGTTTTGGTATTGAATAGTTGTTTTTTTTGCTTTTTTTTTTTTTTAGTGTTGTATTTATCTTGATTACTGAGGTTTTGGTGCAGCCTTAAATTTTGCACCTGAGGTGGGTGCCTCACTTGCTTCCCCCTTCTTGTCCTGATATCTCATTAGAAGGTAGAGTTATGCACAGGCAAGGATCTTTGTCTTAGTCACTGCATATCCCGAATGCCTAGAACAGTACTGCCACATGGTAGACTTTCAGTAAATATGTTTAGGGAATAAATAAACACAACTTTACTGTAAGTTATTTTACATCACAAAATGTTTCCAAGGCCAAGAAATGTTTTATTAACTATATTTTCTCTGTTTTGCCTACTTATTCAGTTATGGAATTAAATCTATACAGGCGCTTTGAATTATAGTTCATGAATTATTATAAAAATATTGACAGAATTTACTTTGTTTATAAAAACAAAGTAAAATGTTTTAGTTCAATAAATATTTTTTCTTCTATTAGTGCATTTATATAAAGGATAAGGTCATATTTACTAACAACTTCTGAAGGTTTTGCAAATATTTCTGTAGCTATTAAATATTATAATATTACTAGTATAGTGTAGGGGTGCCCGGGTGGCTCAGTTGGTTAAGCGTCCAGCTCTTGATTTGGGCTCATGCCATGATTTCACAGTTCGTGAGTTTGAGCCCAACTATTAGTTTGAGCCCACTATTAGTGCAGAGCCTGCTTGGGATTCTCTCTCTCCCTCTCTCTCTATTCCTGCCCTGCTTGTACTCTCTCTCTCAAAATAAATCAATAAACTTAAAAATAGTATAGTGTCAGCTATGAATAGTTACTTAGGGAATTATCTTTTAAATGCACTGATGTCCAAAATACAGCATATGGCAAACTTCACATCAGATCTGTACACACATCAAATGTATAGAAGTAATTTACTTGGTCTATAAAGACAACTTGAGCAAAACATTCAGTTAAAAAACCAATTTCATCCCCTATAAAAATTACTAATATTAATGATAGGTCATAATCAAATTTTTTAAGTTTTACTCATATATTTAATACTGTACAGTCATTTGAGTTTTAATAGGCAATGAATAACAAACTTCATTAGACTAAAAGATAAGGCTATATTTGCCATAATTGTTCTGTTTCTGTTGTGGTAGTCTATTCATGTAAGTAGATGGATTCTAATTAAGGTTTAACAAAACATTACTAGAAAAGAAGACGGTGTTGGGGCACCTGGGTGGCTCAATTGGTTGGGCGTTTGACTTTGGCTCAGGTCATAATCTGTGGCTCACGAGTTTGAGTCCCACGTCGAGCTCTGTGCTGACAGCTCAGAGCCTGGAGCCTGCTTTGGATTCTTTGTCTCCCCGCCTCTCTGCCCCTACCCCACTTGCTCTCTGTCTCTCTCAAAAATGAACAAACAAAAAAAAGGAAATGGTATTTATTAGTTTTTTTAAGTTTATTTTATTTTGAAAGAGCGCATGAGCTAGGGAGGGGCAGAGAGAGAGGGAGTGGGAGAGAATCCTAAGCAGGCCCCACACTGTCCATGTGGAGCCGGATATGGGACTCAAACCCAGGAACCCATGAGATTATGACCTGAGTCCTAACCAGGAGTGAGGCACTTAACCCACTGTGCCACCCAGGTGCCCCAAGAAAATGGTATTAAAAGCACAGACAAACTAAGCTGATAGACATGCCCTACATAAGAACAACCATTTCTTCCCCCATCACTGTCAGGAATAGGTTCTTCCTAGAATCCTGGGAAACAAAAATATTTCCCAGACCACAGTATTCACACTTTTGCATTTGCTGAGAACTAGCAATCATCACAACTATGTTAGGGAGACAAATGTAAAGTATAAGGATTCCACAGGATCGCTACAACAGAACTGAGTAGGTGGGAATCAAGGGAAAGGGAAAGGTTGGTAATGAGAAAACTGATCTTGGTGGACTGTTATTCTTACTTCAAGCCACAGAAAGAACACCGTATGGTAAAGGTGTTAGAGCGCCTTAAGACCACATCTATGACATTGTTTCTAAGGAGAAGATGTGCTCTAAGTGCCAAGTCACCAACTTAGAATTTTGGCTCTTTGTTTCCTTTTTTGTTTGTTCAGAAAGATACATGTATTACATGTTTATTTCAATTATGTTTATTAACTTTAAAATTCTAGAGGATATCAATTCATTTTTTTCATTTTAAAGTTACTTTAACTGATGTCTTCTCAATTTATTCAGTTGGTGGAACTTCATGTTTTTTATGTCCCTGAAGGATCGTGGAACTATAAGCTAAATACCATTTCAGTAGAAGTTGTTAACAAATTCATTTCAGCTGGATTTATAAGGCAAGTATTTTGTGGTCATGTTATAATATGCCTGATAAAGCAATCTTTTTTTTTTCCTGCAGAGAAAAATGAGGGTTTTTTTGAAATTTAAGTTATAAGTGAAAAATTCTGGTCCATGTGATGGATCCACTTTCTAACTTAATACTATCAATAAATAATGCTATATAACAGTTAATAAGTACTGTAGGAACAGATATCACTTAGCCATAGCACTGCCACCCAGAAAAAAAAGTACAACTGGTATATATTACTATGGTTACAGACAAAAAGAATATAGAGAGAAATTATCTGAAGTTAGAACCTGTTGAAAAGCTGTGAATAGTGGTTAAACCAGTATATCTACAATGACTTTTTCACTGAATGGTTCAAAATAGAAACAGAATATAAGTATATGTATATGTACATTTATATGTATGTGTATGTGTATTTTCACATTCACAAAAGCATACATGACACAATTCCTTATATTCCCCATCACTTCAAGCACACTAGTCTATTTTCTGTTCTGGAACACATCAGACATGGACTTACCTCAGGACCCTTATACTTAACGGTTCTCTTAATCTAGAATGCTCTTTCTGCCCTTATGTATCGTATCTCATCTTCAGGTCTTTACTCCAATATTACTTTTTTGTTTAGAGCTTCTCTGATCACTATATTTTAAATTGTAGCTATGCTCCCTTCCCTGCTTTACTTTTCTCTACCGTACTTAGCAATGCCTTACGACTTATTTTTTTATAAAAAATAAATATTTTTCTTATTTTGTTAATTTTTTCTTTCCCACCATTAGACTGTAAAGTCTTTAAGGGCAGAGATTTTTATCTCTTTTGTTGATTGCTATATTCCCATCCTTAGAACAGTGTCTGACACATAGTGGGTGCTCAATAAATACTTGTTGGTTGAACGAATTAATTACATAATGTTTCCCATAAGATCCGAGAAAAACAAGAACTCAAAACAATAGCATAAATGATGCTTTAAGTTTTAGATGTTGAGTGATGAAGTATCCCTAATGAGCAAAGATGTAGAGTCTGACATTTGGTCATTAAAGAAATTTTTAAGCACCAGCCAATCTTGTCAAACTTCCAAAACAAATATCTGTGGGTAAAGCATTCTTTAATATATGTATAAGCTCCATAACAAAGATTTTTTAAAAATTCCTTTTCAGTACAGAAAGGATTTTTATAAATAGTATTCATCTGCATAATATTTTTTTTTAATTCCCGAAGTTTTACAAAGTGACAGGCAATAAAGAAACACAACATACTAAGCCATATATGATATATTGAATTAGTGTTTATGTTTGAGATCGCTAGACTAATGTTATCAAATTTGTAGTATAGCTGAAACCTATTTCATTCTACATAATAAGGCAATGTCATATTTCAGAGTATCTCCACACCTTACTTTACAAGCCCTGAGAGAGCGTCTTGGTGAGTTTCTTGGTGAAGATGCTGTTGCAGAAAAATTTTTATTTCTGAAATGCATTGGAAATAATTTAGCTGTGGTAAGTTTAATTACCTTTTTCCTTTTGATTAAAGAGAGCATACCTTAAGAAATTATGTTTCTTAAATGCTTATCAACTCAGCTTTTTATTTTTTAGATTTTTTAATGTTTTTTTAAAAATTTAGTTAGAGAGACAGAGAGAGAGCGAGCCGCAGAGGGTCAGAGAGAGAGGGAGACACAGATTCTGAAATAGGCTCCAGGCTCAGCTGTAAGCACAGAGCCCAACGTGGGGCTCGAACCCAGAAACCATGAGATCATGACCTGAGCTGAAGTCGGACGCTTAACCGACTGAGCCACCCAGGTGCCCCTCAACTCAGCTTCTTAACATGAGATAAGTAACCTCGATCATAATGAAATGGCAGTATTGCTGAATACATAGATCATTAAGAAATGATGGGTCATGGAACACCTGGGTGGCTCAGTTGGTTGAGCAACCAACTTCAGCTTAGTTTGTGATCTTAAGGTTCCTGAGTTCAGAGCAAGCCCTGCATCTGGCTTACTTCAGCTTAGAGCCCTTTTCAGAACTTCTGTTCCCCTTTCTCTCTACCCCTCCCCTACTCATTCTCTCTCTCCCTCCCTCTCTCTCCCAAAAATAAAATAAACATTAAAAAAAAAAAAGAGGTCTTAGTAGTGTATTATTGGACACTAAAATGATGGGTGTGCATTTCCTTGGGAAGAAAAGACAAAGTTAAAATGTGATTATATAAGTAATATGTATTCTTAAATTTAAATGATAGTGTTTAAAAACATTTTAAGTAAGTACTTGTGTTCTGGACAAAAATAGAAATTCATTGTTTGGGCCACAGCTAGCTTCATTTGGTGTGAAATGATAGGACTCCAACATATGCACATATATTTTGGGGGGTTTCAGCTATTATCTATTGAACAGTCCTGTTTGCAGTTTCTGTTTGCAGGGGTTTCTTAGTAAAGTTTCTTTAGCTGAAATTCTTTAAAAAATTTTTTTAACATTTATTCATTTTTGAGAGAGAGAGTGTGAGTGGGGGAAGAGCAGAGAGAGAGGGAGACACAGAATCTGAAGCAGGCTCCAAGCTCTGAGCTGTCAGCACTCTCTTAGAGCTATGCGGGGCTCGAACCCACGAGTGGTGAGATCATGACCTGAGCTGAAGCTGGGTGCCCAACTGACTGAGCCACCCAGGTGCCCCTCTTGAGCTGAAATTCTTAATCCTGCAAGCCATTGGATCTCAGGTTTCTGGTTTCTCATATCAACGTAAGATTTATTTATTTTTTTATCAAGACTTTCCATTTTTAGGGGCACCTGGGTGGCTCAGCTGGTTAAGCGTCAGACTTTGGCTCAAGTCATGATCTCACCGTTGGTGGGTTTGAGCCCCGCATCGGGCTCTGTGCTGACCGCTCAGTGCCTGGAGCCCGCTTCAGATTCTGTGTCTCTCTCTCTCTCTCTCTCTCTCTCTCTCTTTCTTAGAAATAAATAAAACATTAAAAAAGTAATTTAAAAAATTAAAAAATAAAAAGACTTTCCATTTTTAAACAAAAATGCAGTATATTCTTTTTCCACTCTGGTTAACATATTATGTCATTAGTATGTATTTATTTACGTGATTATTTAATATCTGACTCTGCCTTTAGACTATAGCTCCCTGTGAACAAGGACTTTATTTTATTCACTATTGTATTTATACAGTGCCTAACAAGGTGTTTAGCTCCTAAAGACATTTAAATGTTTATTGAACAATTAAATAATGAATGATAATAGAAAAAAATAGACATTTCCCTCTAGATTAGTACTATTAAGGAATTTGCTACGTGGAATTCTCAGGATCAGCAGCTAGATTTGAAGTTTTTGTCTTTTGCGTTCTATTCAGTATGACAGATTATTAATTTACTCATCTTTAAGTTTTTCTCAAAGAAGAAAAAGCAGTTCTCATAACTTTTCTTTTTCATGATATCTAAAATTACAAAATATTAATCACAGAATCTTAGGTTGGAAGGGACTTTAATAAAGGTAATTTAAGTGAACTTCCAAAGTCCTTCTAATATTTTACTGTTTTCAACAAATATTTATTGATGTTTTTCTATAAATGAGAAAAAATAATTGGATATGGATCCTGCCCTTAAAGAGTATTCAGTGTAGTAGTGGAGAGAAATTAAATTAGCATATTTTGTATATTCAGAAGAAAAAGGAATTACTTCCAGCAGGAGAAGAAGGGAGATGGAGAACTTTGACAAAGAAGAGACATTCAGTTTGGATTTTGAAAGATAAATATTTGATCTTGCAAAAATGTTGGTGGGAAAAACCTTCTGAGCAGAGAATATAGGATGAGCAGAGAAGTGGAAAAGTAGGCAACTAAGAAATAGTGGGGTTTTGTTGTGTTGTTTTTTTTTTAATTGGAACATGGTATGAAAGGAAATAGAGAGCAGGTTGTAAAGTCATTTGTTGAAGGTCTTGAATGCCAGATTAATGAGTTTTGTTTGTTTCTGAAGCATTGGAGTTTTTGATCAAAAGGTGACATGATGAGAGCCTTAAGAGACTAGAGGCAGGGATTGTAACTAGGAGACTTTTGCCGTGGTTAGGCCAGAGATAGGAGGGCCTAAGGAATAGACCGCTTCCTAGATTTCATCTACTGCTATTTTTCTCCTTGATTCTCCATTTCAACCACAAAAATTTTTGTTTGGTCCTCAAATACAGCAAACTTCATTCTGATTTATGGTCTTTGAGTTTGCCTGGAAATTACTTCCCCTTGACTTTCAATTAGCTTGCTTCCCCTTTTCATAATTCAGGTCTGAAGCTCAAGTATTATCTTTTCAAAAGGCCTTCCTCTGACCACCTAGTTTTTAGATATTCTTTTTCTTATGTTACTCTCTATTCCATCACTCTTGTTTTCATAAATCACATAGCACTTTCCTAAATCATGTTTCTTTAATCATGTTCTCGTAAGTAGAATAGCAGTTACATGAAAGCAAGGACTTCACCTTGTTTACTATTGTATCTTCTACTGTAGAGAATACTGCCTGACCCATAGTATGCCCTCATATTTGTTAAGTGAATGGATGGGTGGCTGGATGAATAACAAACAAACTCCATGGGTTATATACTAGGAAATAAAGTTTACAACATTGGACTCTGAAGCCAGATTACCTGGTTTTAAGTCCCAACTTGGAAACGTCTAGTTATAAAATCATGGGCAAGTTATTTAACTTCTCTTTGCCTTACTCTTGTTGTTTGTGAACTAATATGTGTGCCTATCACATGGAATTGTGGAGATTAACTGAGCTGTTACATGTAAAGCACTTAGAATAGTGCTTGGCATATGATGAGTCCATGCAGGTGATAACCATAGTCATTACCACGAAATGACACGCACTTTCTTTTATGTTTTGTGCAGTGAATAGAAATAGGATTATATTCTACATTTTCTAGACTCTAGCCTTAGTTATCAGTTTTTAGGTTTGATTTCTATGTCACAGATATGTGCCTTCTACAAAAAAAAAAAAGTTGGATTAAAAATCATTGCAAACATACAAAAGCTGTATTTTTTTCTCTTTTTATTGTTTCTAGGTGAAGGCAAAGCAAGAATCAGAACTGAAACTCAAGTCATTTGCCCCTCCATATGTATGTAATGTGACATTTTAAACTTAACGCTAAGTTTTTAATTTACTGTTTTTTAAATTACAAACTAATTTTTTAAAAATTTCCTATATGTTTTAGGCTCTTCAACCAGAATTATATTTGCTTCCCATAATGGATCACTTAGGAAATATTTACTCAGCATCAACGGTTTCTTTAGATGGGCGGCAGACTAATAATGGTGTTGCTGAGGCTGATGGAATAATCCACAGACCAGTTAGTGTAACTTTGGTGAAAGAAGAACCTGGAACAGATCCCAGTTTTTTACTAAATACTTTGAAAGAGCTTCTTAACAAGAATCGGGAAGAAGGTGATTTCAACTGGGATGGGAAAAACAAAGAGGTTATTATAGTACATTTTAGTAGTCAGGTCGGTGAGCAAATTCTGGGCAAATCTAGCCTTACAAATGTGGCAGTATAAGAGAAAGCTACAAGTCCATTTGGGGATTTTTAAAAATAGTTTCACTAAGGGAGAGAAAAAAAACCAATTTGAGTATTATGTTAAAAACCAAGTCAAAATATTTACAGCACATAAATAAACTCTACCTTCTTTTATAATAGTTTCAGATAGAGTTAAGGTTAAAGGAGAAAGAAGTGATTACTGCATAGAACCTTGGTATTATTGCCGTATGTGAGAAGGGTCTTAGCCACAAAAACAGTATCGAACAGAAGGAAAACGACTTTAATGGTGGGAGACATTTGTATTCAAAGAATTGTAATTTTTTACCTGATTACATTAATCAATTTACAGATAATTCAGTCCTTAAAAGGTGGTAGATGATTAAACAAAATTAAACATAGAAAGGTGAAACTATTCTCTAAGAACCTATTGAAAAAAAAATGCCTATGGGAAATAAACTGTGATGTAAAAGCAGATACATTGAATATTTATAACTGAAATGACCCTGCCCATTAATGGCAGCATCCATTACAGCTGCAAAATATACATGTTCTTAACCAGTTACATTTTTCTTCATCTTCAAGTATAACCATTCTTATATTCTAAGTTTATGCTATATCCAATAATAACTAAAACTTAGCACCTTCTTTAATCATAGGTGCATTTAGGGGCACCTGGGTGGCTTAGTCAGTTGAGCGTCCAGCTTCAGCCCAGGTCATGATCTCACACTTGTGAGTTCGAGCCCCACATAGGGCTCTGTGCTGACAGCTCAGAGCCTGAAGCCTGCTTCGCATTCTGTATCTTCCTTTCTTTCAGCCCCTCTCCACACATGCTCTGTCTCTCTCTTTCCCTGAAAAATGAATAAACCTTAAAAAAAAGTTTTTTATTTAAAAAAATTTATTTTTTTAAAAATTTATTTCTGAGAGAGACAGCATGAGCAGGGGAGGGTCAGAGAGAGAGAGAGAGAGAGAGAGAGGAGAGAGAGAGAGATACAGAATCTGAACCAGGCTCCAGGCTCTGAGCTGTCAGCACAGAGCCCGATGTGGGACTCAAAGCCATGAACTGTGAGATCATGACCTGAGCTGAAGTCAGACGTTTAACCAACTGAGCCACCCAGGTGCCCCAAACCTTGAAAAACTTTTTTAAAAAATCATAGGTGCATTTAGTATTAATCCTGACATGTTTTACTATTTCTGATGAGAAATGTGGATGAGATGCACCTACTTTATTATTTGATGTCAGCAAGATGCTCAGTGAAAATTTTTACTTCCTTCTTGATGTAGGCTTGTCTCTACTATTGTGTTAAATATTGCTTTCCAGTCATGATATCACTTAATTGTGGAACTCAAAGCCATGAACTGCGAGATCATGACTTGAGCTGAAGTCAGGTGCTTAACCGATTGAGTCACCCAGACGCCCCTGAATATGTATCTCTTAACAGTAGTTTAGTTTTGTATGTTTTGAACTTCCATTTCAGTTTATTAATCTACCTGGAAAACTAATTTTTATGTGTGATATGAAATAAAGTTCCTTAATTTTTTTCCATATATATACTTCCATTTGTTAATGACAGTTGTATAGTTTCTTAAAAATACCAAATTACTCTTTAGTAGTGCATGAGAATGCAAAATATCTGAACTCTAACTTATGATATTATCAAAGATAGCAGTAATAATGTGCATAGTATGTTTTACAAGCCCTTTATTGAAGGAGGAAAGAGTAATGCTTTATCTATTTTCATATGGAAACGGGTATTTCTTTCCATTAGTTGCCTTCTGTTCTTTCCCATGGGTCTGTGCTACACACCTCTACATTTTTGACATGTCTCAACTTTAACGTGTTTAATACTTGACTCTACTGTTGCCCCCAAACTAGTGTACTTTCTTGACTTCTTTGGTTTCATCATTCTTCTAGTTGTTTAAATTTTAAGTTTTGAAATATTTCTTACTGTAAAATAATAGATTCTTAGAATAAGGAACATTAAAAACCATCTTGTAGCCCCCTTGCTTATAATCTGCTTTCCAGTCTGTTCTTGAGAGTGCAGTCTGCATCATTCTTGTTGTTACAAGTGGATTATTTCTCTCTGTGCTTAAAAACCTTTGAAAGACTCATTGATTACTACTTAAGGCCCAAGTTCTTTAAGATGGCATCGAGAAGCCTTTATACTTGGACTTCAAGCCTAGGGTTGCAAATGTTTGGCCATGCAGATGGTTCACTGCTTATTTCCAGAAGGCTTCCTTCACATAGATCATGATATGAATGGAGCTTTCAGGATTTGCTTAATGTGGTGGTTGGATCAGTAACTTTTAGCTATTATTAGTAGCAATACTATTATTATTATTAATTATGATGATGATGATGATGATGATGATAAAAGGAGAGTAAGAAGTACCATGAAGTACAACTGGAGAAATGGGTAGGGACTTGAACTATGAGGGTCTTGGTTCCAAAACTAAGGAATTTTTAAGCAATGGGAAGCTATCTGAACTTTGTTTCAAGTTTTTATTTAAATTCCAGTTAGTTAATATATAGTGCAATATTAGTTTCAGAATTTAGTGATTCATTGTTTACATATAACATGCAGTGCTCATCACAAGTGCCCTCCTTAATGTCCATCACCCATTTAGCCCATCTTCCACCCAACACCCCTCCAAGAAACCCTCAGTTTGTTCTCTATAGTTAAGAGTTTTATGATTCCTGTCTCTTTTTTCTTTTTCCCCATGTTTGTCTGTTTCATTTTTCAAATTCCACATATGAGTGAGATCATACAGTATTTGTCTTTCTCTGACTGACTTATTTCACTTATGATAATACACTCTGGCACCATCCACATCATTATAAATAGTAAGATTTCCTTCTTTTCTATGGCTAATATTCCATTGTGTTGTGTATATGTGTATATATATATATAACATATATGTTATGTTATATGTTATATATACCACAACATCTTTATCTGTTCATCAGTTGATGGACATTTGTGCTCTTTCCATAATGTGGCTATTGTTGATAGTGCTGCTGTAAACATTGGGGTGCGTGTATCCTTTGGGTAAATACCTAGTGGTATAGTTGCCAGATCATAGGGCAGTTCTATTTTTAACTTTTTGAGGAACCCTTATACCACCTTCCAGAGTGGCTGCACGAGTTTACATTCCCACCAACAGGATCAGAGTATTCTCCTTCCTCTGCAACCTCACCAACATCTGTTGTTTCCTGCATTGTTAATTTTATCCATTCTGACTGGGGTGAGGTGACATCTCATTGTAGTTTTAATTTGTTATTTCCCTGATGATGAGTGATATTGACCATCTTTTCATGTGTGTTACCCATCTGTCTTCTTTGGAAAAATGTCTATTCATGTTTTGTGCCCATTTCTTCACAGGATTATTTGTTTTTTGAGTGTTGAGTTTGATGAGTTCTTTATTGATTTTTGGATACTAACCCTTTATCAGATATGTCATTTGCAAATATCTTTTCCCATTCTGTTGGCTGCCTTTTAGTTTTGTTGATTGTTTCCTTCGCTGAGCAGAAGCTTTTTAATCTTGATGAGGTCCCAATAGTTCATTTTTGCTTTTGTTTCCCTTGCCTCCAGAGACGTATCTAGTAAGTTACTAATATGGCTGACGTCAAAGAAATTGCTGCGTGTGTTCTCCTCTAGGGTTTTGATGGTTTCCTGTCTCACATTTAGGTCTTTAATCCAATTGGAATTTATTTCTGTGTATGGTGTAAAAAAGTGGTCCAGTTTCCTTCTCTTGCATGGTGCCATCCAGTGTTCCCGACACCATTTGTTGAAGAGACTTTTTTCCAATGGGTATTCTTTCCTGCTTTGTTTTAATAGGAATAACATGATTGCATTTCAATTCTAGCAAAACCACTTAGGTGACACTATGGAGAACAGAATGAGCCAATAAAGATCTAAAAATACGAAATGCAGTGGAACAGAAATCAGAACTTGAAGTCAAGTCACTCCTAAGGAATGGGTACTGTGCTGGGTACTTTACACGCATTATGCCATTTTAGAGATAAGGAAACCTAGGTTAAAGAAATAACTTAGCTGAGGTCACACCTGCTGTGACAGTGCCAGGACTTGAACTCCTGTGTGTTTGACTAAAGCCCATGCTTTGCTTACAGTGCTGTGTTAGAGTCATACTGAACTTTTCACTATTGCCAAAAATGCTGCATATATTAGTACTCTGTATTTTTCAAATGCCATTTTCTTTGCTTAAATTCTTCTTGCTCTCTTCTTTGCCAGGCAAACATCTCACAGTTCAAAACATAGTTTCACAGTTATCACTTACTTTTCTGTGAGTCTGTAACATTTTATGCATATATTACTATAGCTCTCAAAACACTAATATGATTTTTTCAAGAGTGAATAGGCCTGCTTTCTTTAGGTTATTAGACTGCACAGGTATTAAATAGTGCAGTGCATCGTGCTCTAGACTGTTACTAGGAATGAGATACTTGTGCTGTATCCCTATCAAAGTTACTTAAGATTTCCTGAATTTTGCATTGTTGTTTCTTTCTTTGGGGTGGGGGAGTATTTTACTATTAACTTTTAAGCAGCTGATATATATCTGGTTTTTGTTCATTTTGCATTGAATATATATTTTAGAAAATCCCTGTTTGTTGTCTTTAAAAGACTATTTCATATATACCAGCCGGTAAATGTAGCAGCTAGACTAAAATTAAACCAGTACAGCCTTCAAGTTGCAAAATTCTGTGGCCACCCTTGTAAAATGATTTCTCAAGTATTAACATGACTCATTAATTTTTTTCTAAATTAAAAAATATGTATCCAAAGCAAAAATATCTGCATTAATATTGTGAGGTTCATATAGATCATATAGAACACTAATGTTAACATTTTAAAGACATTGTATAGTTCTCCTATATAGGGAAATTCCGTTAAAATGAAGGGAGGTTTTGTAAAGAGAAATGTATGTGAAATAACAAATGACATTATATGCTCTGTATTTATACCAGCCTCTTCCAGAGAAGTTTCCTCAATACAATTTCAAAAGATGCTTTTGGCAAAAGCTTTCTATAAGACAATTAAGTTTAAGTCCAGCTTACCCCCATCTTATAGGTTCACATTGTACATCAAAACAGGGAACTCCTGCAAGGGTGTGTGTGTGATTGTATTCCTGGTAGGGTTCCCTAATCCTTTTTTTCCCCAGACTGAATTGACCAAAGAGTTCTCCTTTCACATAAAGTGTTTTATGAAATTTACTTTGGAAATTGTTGCCTTATAGCATGTATAGTAGAGCTCATGAAGGACACAGTACAAGACTAGACTATGTCCATATAGATACATATTTGTATAAAATTTTATTTTACTGTTAATATTATTAACTTTATTTGCCATGAATGAACATGAACATCAGCAGGGGGGAAAGCCACTCCAAAAGAAAACCAGACTGGAAAAAATCAAAGTAGAAATTCTGAAGTGCCAAGATCATTGGAAGAATCAAACAGTGATTATTTAAGCAACAAAAAAAGGTAACTAGTACAGATGTTGTTTCCATATGTCATAATCTAAACTATAAAGAGTGAGATATCCAGGGTACTGTTATAAGGACTTCTAGTTACAACAAATATATGAGTGAAATTAGTGATATTTTTAATTAAAATTACCTTGATTCTAATCTTTACTCTTTGCTTTTTGTCACCAGTGTAATGAGGAATAATTTATTGCTTAAATTTATTTCTATTATAATTCTTATGGTCATCAGGGGCAGCCTACTGACTAAAAATTTTGTCTTTATGTGCCTTTCTTAGAATTAATTGTTCTGCCTCACTTGGATTCTTGGTTATGGGCAAACTAATTAGTATGCTTGAGTTTCACGTGGTATCTTTCACTGAGAATTATAGTATGTGGACAACAGTTTTTCATATAGTCTTTGAAACTGAGGGATTTTATAAACAATAGTTTCAGAAAAGAATTATAAACAAAATGTTTCCAAAATTTTTATTTTACTTTGCTATAGACATTTTAATATGATTTGAATTTATCTATAATATAAATATGATTTTATTACTCATACAAAATGTAGTTTATGTTTATCATTAATGAGCTTTAAATATAATATTCTCAGGCTTTTTGAAGTTTTAATGTTACATTTGGGTTTACACAATGTCAAATAAGATATATAAAATGTGAAAAGCTTGGGGCGCCTGGGTGGCTCAGTCAGTTAAATGTCCGACTTCGGCTCAGGTCATGATCTCACAGTTCGAGGGTTCAAGCCCTGCGTCAGGCTCCGTGCTGACAGCTAGCTCAGAGCCTGGAGCCTGCTTTAGATTCTGTATCTCTCTTACCCTCCCCTGCTCATGCTGTCTCTCTCTCAGAAATAAATAAAACATTAAAAAAAATTAAAATGTGAAAAGCTAATATTCATGGAATCACTTTTTAATATGACTTTCAAATCTGTCATTCCCTTTAAGTCTGTTTCATTGGAATGAAGATAATAGAGTTAATATCATTAGAACAGAGAACAAGCAGGTATGATTTAATTTTTTTTTTGTTTAAATGAAGTATTGCAACATAATATTTATACTGAAACTGAACTGCAGCTTAAAATATCAAAGTTTTCTAGCCTTAGAGGCTAGAGGATGGGAGATAAGTCTCAAAAAGTTTCAGGAGCCTACCAATTCAGTGAAATCTTTGGGTGTTCCATGGTATGGGTAGTACATATTGAGGTACGCCCTATAAAGTGAAAGCCAGGTTTTTATATCTTATCCCACTTATTACTGAGAATTAGTCAATTGATGGACCTCTTTAGAGTTTGGAGAGAGATTTGCGACATTTGGATGTACTGCTCCAGTCTTTTTTTTTTTTTTTTTAATCAAGTAATCTGAAAGACCGCCAACTTTGGGCCCAAAGGAAGTGAAGGCTCACAGGTGATCTGAGAAACCTCACAAGCAAAGTTGCCACTTGTGTTTTAATGTCCAGCTGATCCAGTGCTGCCTGCCTGGGAGTACTGAGTCATGTCCTGGTAGGGGAATCACAGCTCAGAGCTCTTGGGTTTCAGAGCAAAAGGCATGCCCTCTTCAGCAAATAATTGTTCTATTGTTGCTGGATATTAATAATATATGCTATCTTTATGCTTTAAAATTTTTCTCAGTCTAGTGGATGCTTACTGCTAATTGTGGTATGAATTTTAATTTCCCAATGTTACTCATAAAGCTCATCATGTTTTAATATTATTATGGACTTCATTTTGGTAACTTTTTTTGGAAGTACCTTTTCAGGTGTTTCTTTTGGGTTGTTTGTCATAGGTTTCTGATTTGTATAAGTTTTTAATATACTCTAGAGGTATTTCTTTGATGCTTATATATGTCGCAAGTATCTTCCCCTATTTTGTGCCTTGTCTGTAGTCTATCTTGCTGAATACCTTGCTTAGTATTCCTTATCCTTATTTTTCCCCCACATTCTCATGCTAGGTAGCTACTTAGACTGAGAATGGTATATTGGAATCTCCTATTATTAGTGTGTTACTGTTTATCCCTACATCTCCCGTGGTTTCTGGTTTGTTTAGATTTCTAGGAGTTATTTGGCACAAAGTTGTTCTCAGGTGAATACTAATGCACTTTTGCACTTTGAAGTATCCTTTTTTGACTCACGTGCTTTTTTTTGGTCTGAATTCTCCTTTATTGCATACTTTCTTTTTTTGCATACATTTATTTGGTATACCCTCATCTTCCTTTACACTGTCTTCCCCTGGCCTTTCTGAAATGCTTTGTTTTAGATATATCTTTTTTTTTTTTTAATATTTTTATTTATTTCTAGGAGACAGAGAGACAGCGTGAGCAGGGGAGGGTCAGAGAGAGAGGGAGACACAGACTCTGAAACAGGCTCCAGGCTCTGAGCTGGCAGTCAGCACAGAGCCTGACGCGGGGCTCGAACCCACGAACTGCGAGATCATGACCTAAGCGAAAGTCAGACTCCTAACCGACTAAGCCACCCAGGTGCCCCTTTAGGTATATCTTTTACATACAACCTAGATAGAGTTGGGTTTTGCTTTGTGAGGCAGTCTGAAAATATTTTTTATTTAGTAGATGAATTATGTCAACTTATTGATAGGACTGATGTATTTGACCCGAGAGTTGTCATTTTATGTTATAACTGTGAGTTACTATGTAGTTTATTTATACTTTTCCCATCTCCTTGTGTTTTAGGAAGGTTGTATTTTTGTTCTAGTGTTTAACTTTACACTAATACATTTATGGTATTATGCTAGTGTTCCTTTCCCCTTTTTTAAAATTTATGCTTCTGCTTTTCATTTGTTACCTCTAAAATTATCCACTGACCTGTTATATTCAGGGTAATCAAAAAAAATTTTAGAAAAAGCACCTAGCTACAGTATTTTCTTCTCCCACATTTAAAACTTTGTCTAGAGCAGAGATAAGCAAACTAGGGCCTGCAGACTGTTTTATAAGGCCCTGGACTTAGGAATGTTTTTATCTTTTTTTTTTTTTAATGTTTATTAATTTTTGAGAGAGAGGGAAAGCACAAGTTGGGTAGGAGCAGAGAGAGAGGGAGACACAGAATCCAAAGCAGACTCCTGTCAGCACAGAGCCTGATGCAGGGCTCAAACGCACGAACTAGGAGATCATGACCTGTGCCAAAGTCAGATGCTTAACCAACTAAGCCACCCAGGTACTCCTGTTTTTTACATTTTTAAGGAACTGAAGGAAAAGAATCATGACAGAGACAATATGTGGCTCACAAAGCCTAATTTATTCACTCTCTGGCCCTTTACAAAATTTGTTCATCGTTGCTCTAGAGTTTTGATATCTGAAGGATAGCTTGATTGGATATCACATCTTTGGCTTACATCTTTTTTCCCTCGAGTTTCTTTAAAATGTTGCTTTACTGATGTTTTATATGTTAGTATTAAAAAGTGAGATGCTTGGTTTACTTTTCTTTGTAAACTAGCTTAGGTATATCTGTCTGGAAGGCCAGAGGATTCCTTTAATGCATACTAGTTTTACCAGGCTATATCTTAGTTGAGAATTCTAGATCAGGTTTTTGCAGGTACACTGTGGATCCTTGCAGTATGAAAATCTGGACTTCTTTATTTCAATAGCGTTTTCTAAAATTATAGCTTCAGAAAATAATTTAGATAGCAGATCTATTGTTTTTTTTTCTCCTTTACTTTTTATATATGTTTTTTCCTCTGATCTATTTCACTTTTTTTAATGCTTCATTTTATTTGCTTTTATTTCTTTTCTCCAGTCTCCTTACTGTACTTTTAGTCATATTCATTCCTTCTTGGGTACTTGCTAATTTATTCATTTCTGAGACAGTTTTGTTTTTTCTTTAATTTCTTTCTTCAGTTTAGCCATCTCCCATTTCACATGTTCTGTTTTTCCATTTTTATTCTGAGTTTCAAAATTCCTGATTTACTGTGTTTGTTGGTATCTTCAAATGCTTAATTATATTTAATCTATGTTGGAAGTATTGTTAAGATTTTCTCTCTGCCTCATGGCTGCCTGTGTGGTTTTAGTTCTCAATTTTGAGGGCTTTTAAAAAGTAAATTTGTGTGGGTTCTTGAATAATTTGTAGATATTGTTCATGTTTACTTGTGTTGAATTTTTATGTTTCAGTAATAACAGGTATTTTTATAGAGGAACAGAGAGCCATGTTTTGGTGGTTTCTTTAGCTTCTTAGGTTGGGTGCTCCCTCTTCTGTTCATATAATGAAATGCAGTTATTTATTTATTTTTAAAATGGGACCTTTTGGGTCTGTTTTTTTGAATTTTTTTCTACTAACTAAATTCAGCAGAGCTGTTATCCTGGTCACTTTCTTCTTTTCTCTTACCATCTAGCCCTGAGAGAACATCTCTTCCAAAATATTTTCCTCTCTCCTAAAAGCTGTCTTCCCATGATTACCATCTCAGGCCCCCTACATTTTATAATCCCCTTTCTTTTGGCCTCCTCATCAAAAGTGCTTTGATTTACAAGATTTTATCCTCACACTCAGTATTTCCCCTATGGATGTGAAGCACCCTCCTTCCAGACTAAATCGTGATTGATGTTTATTGTGTTATCATCTTTGTATAGTGGCCTCTAATGCTCAAGCAGCTCATACCTGATTGGAGGTGGGCTCCTGAGCACAACTCTGCAGGTCTAGGGTGTTTATTTCCCCAGTAATATGAAGATTAAAGTATATGTAAATTAACAGATTGTGTCCTAGTTATGCTTTAGACATAAATTATGGGTAATTTTATTTGCTTTCTTTTTATAGCAATTTTGGAAGGATGTGTGGAGAGATTGTAATTTAGGTGGTTGCCATTATCCTGTAGGAGCCTGAACTTATAAGTTAATAATGTAACATAACATTAACAACTAGAAAAAGAACAATAAAACAAAGTAGGAGTAAGGGCTTAATGAAGATAGAAGGAGACACTAATAAGTTACAGAGGTGAAAAACCTAGAAGAATTGAAAATAACTCAGATCTATAAAGTGGTGGTAGGAGAGACATCAACATTGGTAAGGCTCAAGGTAGTTAAGGGCAGAAACACAAAAATTAGGAAAGATAAAGGTGATACAAACACAAATACAGAGCCAATAAAATATGCTAAATTTTGAAAATGTAATTAATTTTCTAAGCAGATATAAAAATTGGCTCAAGATAAAATCAGTAGTCATCTTAGAAAAATGTTAAAGTTCTAACAAGTAACTGAGGTAAGAAATCTTAGAAATCATGTTTACAAAGGAATAGATTTTTTTTTTTTAAGTTCAAAGTACCTGTTTATAATGTCCAAATAATAGTGAAATAGAGAAGCTGAAGCACAAGAGAGAATCTATAGTTATAAATACAAATTTGGGATTTTGTCACCATATAAGTAAAAGAAGAAACACATTGCTGTTGTACATTATCAAATGCTTACAGACAGGTGCAAAGTAATGTGTTATTCTACAAGATCTCACTGGTTTTCATGTTTGCTTACAGATAGGTAAGAAAAAGTGCATCACCCTGCCAGATCTTATTGATTTTCCTTCACTTCCTTGTCAACCTCTTTCTCCAGTAATAACTGATATCTCTTTATTACAGATTGAAAGTAAGTATGATGATACCATAAGTACAAGTGATTCTGTGATGTACAGAGTTTCAGTTTGGGAAGATAAAGTTCTAGAGATGGATGGGGGTGATAGTTGCACAACATCATAAAAGTACATAATGCCACTGACAATACATTTAAAAATGGTTAAAACTGTAAATTTTAATGTGTATTTTACCACAAAAATGTTAAATTATTTTAAAGTATATGAATTATATGTTAATTACTGCATATATTTAATCACTAATATTATTTGTGTGTAAAATGTACTCTTGCTATTTTAAGCACTTTTAAGTTGTAGCTTTTAGACATTGATGGGTTATAATCTTTTAGGAGAGAAGATTATTGAACAAATGAAACAAGTAAAGAAAGAAAGAAGATATCTGGAAAGAATTAGAGAAGAACTAATAAAAAAAGCTGAAAAACTATTTGAACAAAGCAAATTGAAGCAATATCATGGTAAAATTTATTACATGTCTTAATAAATCCTTATGTACATACTTTAAAGTTTTTAAATTTTAAGTTCAAATATTTTTTATAACATTCCTTTGCTTATTCACTTACTAAATAAGTATTTATTGTCTACTGAATTTAGCCACTGTTCTAGGGGCTGAGGAGATAATAGGCAGACACAATTTTGTCTCTGCCCTCAAAGAGGTTATAGTCCATTGGAGAAGTGATACTCAAGAAAACAGTAATGATACATCCTGATGATGCTATGATAAATTACAGAATTGCATGCATAAATGTACAGAGTAAGAGCACCTAAATTAGATGGAAGAGATCAAGAAAGGCTTCCAGGAAGGGTGTTAAATATGCTTGAATCTGAAGCGTGCTCCTCTTGTCTGTAGGCCTTCAGACATGCTTTTCCCCCTGCCATCTACATCTCCTTTTCCTTCTGTCCCCCCCTCTTCCCAGTGTACCTGGCTAGTTCCTACTAATCAATCTCAGCTTAGATATTACTCTAGAAGCATTCTCTGAATCCCTTAGTCTCTCTACATGCTTAATTTTGTGTTATGTGTCTGTCTGCTCTGCTAAACTGAATGAATGAATGAGTGAGAGAAATTAGGTAGAAAAATAGGTAGTTTTCTTGCAACAGAATTAGAAACAAGTGTTAAGACTAGTTGAAATGGAAAAACAGGCGAGGGTAGAGAGATGTTAAAGGATTTGAGAGGATTGCATTTTAGGTGGTATTTGAGGATTATACAAATAAAAGGTATATATGGAATAAACTGGTTGTGGGATTCTCAATTTGCAGCACAATTATTACTTCAGTATTAGAACTGACTGAAGGCTATAGGCATTGTCAGGAGATATTTCTGCAGGTTCTACCTTATTAAGTCGGTATCTTGGAAATGGTGGCAATGACTAAGTTTTATCAGACAAACTTGAGTAACGGACTAGAAATCACAGGACCAGAATTCTAATACCAGATCAGTGATTTATGTAGGCAAGTTATTTCTCTTCGTTGTGCCTCCCTTTTTCTGTTTATAAAATGAGAGTGATCAGGGGCACCTGGGTGGCTCAGTCGGTTAAGCGTCTAACTTTGGCTCATGTTATGATCTCATGGCTTATGGGTTCAAATCCCGCATCAGACTCTAGGCTGACAGCTCAGAGCCTGGAGCTTGCTTAGGAGTCTGTATCTCCTTCTCTTTCTGCCCCTCCCCTGCTTCTGCTCAGTCTCTCTCTCAACAGGAATGTTTCAAGACAAAAGGCATGTATCAGCCATCAAATATGTAGTGAGCCTACTATGTGCCTCAATTCCTTGCATTGTTTTAAAGGCTGAGGATACAGTAAAACAAGATAAACATGCTCCTGCCCTTAGCTTGCCTCTAATGGGAGGAGACAGACAGTAAACAAGACAATATCAGCTACCGATTAGAGCGCAAAAGTCCCTTTAGAAGAGCATAGTAAAGAGTGATGGGGCAGGAGAGATGCTTTAGCTTGAATTTTCAAGGAAGGCATCACTGAAGAAATATTAAGATGTGATTAATAAGGAGCTAGGTATGTAAAGGGATGGGGGGGGGCGGGGGAGACAGGAAAACAGTCCAAACAGAAGAAACACTAAAATGTCAAGGTCCAGAGATGGAAGTGAACTTGTAGTATTAAGGAGCTGAAATAAGGCCAGTGTGGCTGAAACTTAATATGAAGGAAGGCAGAGAAAGTTAAAATCAAAAGCTCACCAAGGAACAGGCCAATTTAAGGAGTTTAGATTCTATTCTAAGGTGAGAAGCCATTGGAGGATTTTTAAGTTAGAGATGTTTATGACTTTAAAAATATTTTTAGAACATCAGAATGACTGCTGTATGGAATAGCCCATAAAGGGGCAAGAATGGAAGCAAAGAGGACAGTTAGAAACAATGCACTTTAAAAAGGTGATAGTGCAGTGACTTGGGACATAGCATTGAAGAAGTAGAATGTGCCAGATGCTGGAAGTATTTTAGCAGTAGTACCAATAGAATTTACTGAGGGATTAGGTATAGGGCATGAGGGAAATACATAGTTAAAATCCCATATATTTGTAGAATTTTAATCAAATCACCTCTTATATTTGGGGTTTTCATTTCTTCAAAAAATTTTAAAATAGAAACATAAGCATATACTGATATAGTAACATGCAGTTTGTGTTCCTATTAAGTTTGTATTTAGAATCTCGGTGGTGTCAAAGTGATTCCCTAAACTGGCAGTATTTGATTTGTAATTTTCTCAACTACAGGGCTCAGGTTTAAGAAATTCTGTCCTACATACATTTGGGGATTTAAGTGATAAATCAGCTTATTTTACAAAACATAAGTCATATTATGCCTTTCTCTTCATTTTTAAATTATGATTTCAAATCAGATTATGGAAAAAGTAATCAAGATAAATACACACATTTTGCTATAGGTAGTATTTTTTAAATGTTTTTATTTCTGAGAGACAGACAGTGTGAGCAGGAGAGGGTCATAGAGAGAGGGAGATACAGAATCTAAAGCAGACTCCAGGATCTGAGCTGTCAGCAGAGAGCCCGATGCGGTGCTCGAACCCACAAACTGTGAGATCATGACCTGAGCCAAAGTTGGACACTTAACTGACTGAGCCACCCAGGCGCCCTAACTACAGTAGTATTTTTAATCAAGATTTTTCAGAAATAATTACAAGCTTAAAGAACTTGGTTTGGTTCCTGGATTCATCACTATTTTACTCTATTTGTAAGCCAATCCTTTTATTATCTAATAAACATTTCAATCTTTGCTTTAATTTCCTCAACATATGAGGAAGGAAGAGTGGGGGAATAGAAGTGCTTAAATTAACTCAAGTGTCCTTTCCAAGTTGAAAAGTTTAATCCTTTAACCAGACTCCTATTATACTCCTTGATTTTTTTGTAGCCTGTGATAGTTGGAAGAAAAAATACTTTGAAACAAAGAAAATCACAGCATCATTGGAGGAGGTTTTAACCAAACTTCGAGAAGATTTAGAACTTTACTATAAAAAACTGCTCATGCAACTTGAAGCCAGGGAGATTAAGATGAGACCAAAGAATTTGGCAAACATCACAGACTCTAAGGTACTTATTACTAAATGTGTTCACATTCTATTAGAGAAGTTCTACTCAAAATATGTAGTTTATCATTGCTAGTATTATCATAGGTAGAATGCTTTGTGCTACAGGTAACAAAACCTTGGCTTAACCTGACTTAATAAGAAAATGAATGATCTCATGTAATGGGTGCTGAGAGGATACAATCAGCAGCTTAACGAGGTCTTTGAGGGACTGTATGCTTCTGGCATTTCTTACATGTTATTTTTGGTGTTGGATTCATTATAAGACTGCATGTCCTCATGGTGCCAATGGCAAGTAAGGCTATATGCCTCCTAAACAAGTATATATAAAACTTTTTTCTCCAGTCTTACTGAGATATAATTGGTATATAACATTATATACTTGAAGCCAAGTAAAGTATGTAACATAAAGATGTAACATAATGATGTCTGTATATATTGTGAAATGATTACCACAATAAATTTAGTTAGCATCTACCATCTCATAGTTACAAATTATTTTTCTTGTGATGAGAATTTTTAAGGTCTATTCTCTAAGCAATTTTCAAATATACAGTATTGTTAACTATAGGTATATGCTATACATTACATTCTCAGGACTTATTTTAACTACAGTTTTGTACCTTTTGACCATCTTCACCCATTTCTCTTCATTTTCTACCCTTCGGCCTCTGGCAACCAGCAATCTGTTCTCTGTTTCTATGAGTAGTTTACCATTTTAGATAAATGCAATGTAAAACACAAATAGGCTCAAGTAATGGTTTGTCCATCTTAGCTGATACTTCTTATCTTGCATAGCTAATTTTTTGTTTTATCAAGTTCAATATATATTTTTTTTCACAAAGGCAGCTTAAAATTTTAAATAGTTTTTGATGACCACTATACTTCATAAACTTTTCTGAACAAAAATAACTAAAAAGGCTTCTTATATTAAATGTTTTCTTATATAAAATATAGTATTTCATTATTAAATATTTTAAAGTTATACTATCCAATTCAGCTGATAGTGTTATGACAATTTCAAAAGCCTTACTAGAATCTTAAACATAGTATACTCCTTTTATAGTAATAGTTTTTGCCTTTGTGATGCCAATTTAATGGTAACTTGTATAAATATCTACTTATTTTTATAAAACATGAATAAATGTAGCAGAACAGAAGGGAATGTGATCCCATAAGAAAAAGGTCAATACTAATTTACTCCAAAGCAATGAGTTTATGCAATAGTTTATTCTTATTTTTGGTATTTGCAAGACAATTTGGGGCAGCTGGGTGACTCAGTTGGTTAAGTGACTCTGGGTTTTGGCTCAGGTCATGATCTCACAGTTTGTGAGTTTGAGTCCCACATCAGGCTCTGCATTGACAGCATGGATCATGCTTGGGATTCTCTCTCTCTCAAAATAAGTAAACTTAAAAAAAATAAAAATAAATAAAAATGAAAAGATGTTATACTAAATAAGGATGTCTTTATATTTCACACAGAATTACCTTATAGTCCAGATCACTGAGGTACAGCATGCTATTGACCAACTTAAGAGAAAATTGGATACTGACAAAATGAAACTCATCATAGAAGTTAAGGTAATTTGCATTTCATAATCAGACATTTATGTTTTGATGTTTTAACTTTGGGTGTCAGAAGCATAAGGATAGTATGGATTGACTATCTTAAAATTGTTACCAAGAGCATGAATGAGAAAAATGCAAGAATTAAATCCTGTGAAAAGGTGCATGTTATAACAAGGCCAAAGCAAAATTTAGTTAACATTTCACTAAGAATGAGAGGAAAAGGACCTTGCGAATGAGTATAGAATCTCAATATTTTAAAAGCAATTTATTTATGGATGAGTCTAATAAATGAAAGTCTAAAAACCACTCAGTTCTCTGAGCTCCACTTTTTTAACCCATTCTAGGGTAATTATCTCATTCTGATTATTTTCATGTATATATAATTAGATTAATGCTCTAAATTCATTTATCAGAAATAGCTCCCCTTTCTAGACTCAGCACTGTCCAGTTAGAACTTTCTGCAATGATGGAAATGTTCTATATCTGCACGGTCAGATACAGCAACCACTAGCCACGTAAAGATATTGAGCACTTGAAATGTAGCTTATTGTGTGACTGAGGAGCCGATTTATATAATTTGTTAATTTAAATAGCTACATGTGGCAAGTAGTTACTGTATTGAATAGTCCAGTTCTAGATTCTTTTCACTAGCAGTATTCAATTAGGACTCTCTGAATTTTAGAATGGTAAGATGAAAACTCATTTTTGAAAGGTAATTCTTTTTGTAGATGAGAAAACAAGCAGTTTCAGATTTACGCATGCTGAAAGCTGAACTGGTGCAGAAGAAAATTAACACATCTTTACAATCTTCACTGGGTATCTTATGTAATTTTTTCACTTTTCATTTGGGTTTTTAAAGTGTTTCAGGAAATATTAGATGTAAAAAAGCAAAACAGCAGCTATTTGGTTATTTCTGAAGCTTTTAAGTCTATTACATATTTAACAGTACTGTATTTTATCATTTTCACTTTTAGATAGTCTTTAATAGCAATATTTCTATTAAATATTTCTATCTGCATTTAAATAGAGACCATTTGCTCATTGTATTTGATTAAGAGCAATCTGGAAATTATAGTATATAAATAGGGATATTGAATTTATATCCAGAGCTATGATAGAGATTAGTAATTTAACAAATACTATGGAAAATGGTTGGTTTTACTCTGCCATAAATAGTTGGATAAACAGGAAAATAACAGATGACTGAATCATCATTTATTCCAACTGAGGGAAGGGGGGAAATGTACAGAGAAGACAGGACTTATGTAGGTTCACAGTTCAAGAATGCAAATTTTTAATCTACATATAGGAACAAATATAAACATAACACACTTGCCCTGAGGAAGAGAACAGAGATCTCTTTACATTTAGAAAAAATTATCTTTTAGAGAGATTTAGTGCAGAGAAAATTGGAAAACCAACGTCTTTAGATAATTAAAAGAAAAATTCACATATAGAAAAAAAATTAACAATGAAAATAAATTACAGATGTTCATAAATGAAGGAATATTAATAAGTGGAAAAGTAAATAGAATCATGTTCTACATTAAGTTTCTGCTATAACCTCATAAAAATAATTTAGGTAAAAAATATTAGGTAGATCTACTAATTCAAAATATTACTTATCTTAATCTTTTATTTTTCCCTCTGGAGGCTTTCAAAGAACTTGAGTACTATATGAAATCAGGAAGCAGAAAAATTATTTGCATCAGCTTGATGAACCTAAAAGAAGAGATACTAAATTGCAGGTTTTAAATTTGTGGAATAAAAAGTACAGGGCTGTTTCTCAAAGACTAGGTTTTAAAAAAAATCTAGTCTAAGCAAATAATTTCCACTTCAAATTATATGTATGCAGATTTTTAAAATAATAAAATTCTGAAAACTATTTTTCCTAATTAAACACAGAAGAATAAATCTGGCAAGTTAACTTCTTACCTTTGTTTTTAGATAACCAAAGCACTCATCTGCTTTTAAGTATGGTAACTAAATTATGGGACATGACAAAACTGTATACATTTTTATCTCTTCAAGAAATGGGTTTATCTTAATCTTAATAGTTTGACAAAGATGCTTATCTGTCACAGCTTTGGTTTTAAATCTTCCCACATTTCTTCAGTTTGCTGTTTGGCCACAGCATCCCCAGAGTAGTCGAGACAGTCTGCGTGCCACATGCCAAGGCCTCGTAAGCCATGCTTCCGTACATATGCAGCCTTTAAAGAAATGCCCTGAGGGTTATCATACCACACTTGATGAAAATGGCCAGAAGAATCCTGTAAGAATAAACTGAACTATTTAGTACAATATTAAATCCAATGACTCAAAAATGATACAACGAAATAATAAAAAGTTTAGGGCACAATATTTTATGCCTCCATGGTTCTGCATGTGATACTTTCTAGGTGTGATTGATTGTGGTGCTTTCACACACATGAAAGTGAACAAATGAACTTCATAATACAGTCTATATACAGTGCTTCTCATGCCTTAAGATTCCTTCCTTGGTCTGATCTGATGATTGTCAACCAAGATGTACATCTGAATCACTTGTGTGGCTTTAAAAAATACAAACTACTGGGATCCACACCACATGAAACCTACTTAATCAAAATCTTCCAGGGCTGATGACAGGATGTATTTTTGTTTTGCCATTCCATTAGGTAATTCTGATATGCAGACATAGTTAAGGAGGATCACTGCTCTGGTCCTCTACACCAGCTTACGCGTTTTGTTTTTGTATTCTCTACAGTTCCTGGAAGTGTGCCCAGTTAGGAGCTCAGCAGATGATTTCGTTTATGATGAATCAGTCAAATCAAAAGATAATGGGTGAGAAAAATATCTCCTTTTCCAGGTCTTACAGAATTGATTTTAAGAGCCTTTCAGGTGTGGGTTCCATGGGTAACTTATGCACACACCTGATTAAGAACCATAAACTAGAAAACGGTCTTATGCTCACCTTCTATCCTTTAAATCCTCCCCAGCATCAACTGCCTCTAGTACTAACATAGTCTCTTCTGGAGGGCAGATAAGCTATTGGATACAGGATGAAAAACTGAGCTTATAGAAGATTGATCTATGCATGACTAAGGCATGTATATGCTTTCAGGAATATCACAGGCATGATGAGGCTGCTGTTGCTCAAACAGCATAAGAAAGAAACAACAGTTTTATAGTTAAGTTGTTGTCTAATGTGCCATTAAATGAATGGCTTTCAAAAGGCTTATCAAAATGTTTCCTGAATTCTAAAACCTTAAAGAATGTGTCTTATTTATTAAGGAAAAAATAAGTCAGGGACTACAAAAAAATAGTACCCCGGAAGTGTAAAATATTACACTATTTGGCAAAGACAGGATTATAATATACCCTGGTTTAATAGGTATATACTTTAGATTAAAAATTTAGAAAGCTCTACACCAAAGCTTTCTATATAATTGATACATATGTACATGTATGTTTATAATCATTTTTCATAAATGGGGACCAGGCCATTATTAAGGAATATAAATTCTTACTGGAATCAACTTACATCATATTTTAGGGTTCCTTTTAAAATAACAAAATCCAAAGTAAATTCAGAGATGGCTTGTAATTAGATTGTTGAGGTGTGTAAAAGTTTGTATTATGTTAAATTATGAAAAATCCTACTTTTGTATGGCAATTCCTACTTATCAAACACTACGTGACAGAATTGCTCTGGTCATTTATCTAATTTGTCTCCACTGATTCCATGATGGTACATTCTTTATTCTCAGCTTCATGCCTCCCTATAAAACAGCCTCATCAGTACCTTTAGAAATGAAGGCTTACTGAGCAGTAACCTATTTTGACCCAAAGCTACAGTTATCAAACATAATTATCAACTATTAGGGAAATCCTGCTTGTGATATGCATGTTTTTATAACATTACCTAAAATGAGGAGTACCCATGCAGAGAAGTTCTGTTATTAGCATAACCTGAACTGCTCAGCTGGAAAGTAAAGTACCTGATTAGACAAGTTTACTCATGTAAATTCTATGTTGTACCCTAAAAGAAAACTGATAAATTCTTAAAATCAAGTATCTAATTATGAAAACATGCAGTCAAGAAAATAGAATGTTCATAGTTTGTGAAAAGTCTTACTTTATAGTTGTAATAAGAAGCCTGTTGATCTTTATCCCAGTGGCTTCCAGAAATAGAACTATTTACATGCTTCATAATTATTTTATAGGGCACCTGATGTCCTGAAAGAATACCACAAGAGGCCCTCCAGGAAGGGACTTTTGGAATGGTACAAACACGATCCTAGAAATACAAAAATGTTCATGTTACACATTTATCAGTTAAGCAAATCTTAACCCAATCGTAAAACATAATCAAAAACTATTAGAAATAAAATATATACTATAAATAACCTGACTATACAGAATAAAAGTTAATATATAACATTCAGAAACTTCCATGGGATTAAATAATTAAAAATAAACTTTACCATTTTTAGTCTCAAACTTTATATATGAAACAAAACAGGCTCCAAAAATATAATAGAGGAAAAAAATGATATAAGTTCTTACCTCCAATAGATTTAGACAGGTATAGTCATAACCATACCAGGGAACACCCATTACAAGTTTCGCAGGGTTAATGCCTGTCTTGATGTAGTCATCATACCCTAATCAAATTGGGGCCAAAAAAGCACATTTTTTCACTTTATATTCTACTAATGGGTTTATACAAGTTATGCAATCATTCAGAAGCTAAGTTTGAAAAAACAAGTACAGTTATACAAAATACTAATACAGTGTTTCTCTAATATGACATAATGAGTGATTTTGAATGTTATAATACATTAAAAACAAGATCAAATTGAAGCAAAAACTCATAAAATTTATTTCTAGGAAGAATGACACATTTCAGGAAAGCATGCTAATTGTATATTAACTGCTAAGACATAATATAACTCTCTGGCAGGGATGGTCTCAGAATTTCTTATAGAATATTTCTGAAACATGGAATACTTGTGCTTTCTGTAAGTATGAATTACAGCTATGAATACTTTGTATTCAATCTATAATTATAGGAAACAAAGAGAAATAGGAACAAATTCCCAATGCTGCAAAATGTTTTCCCACCAAAAGGTGTTTCAAGATTATCAGAAAGTTAAGTAAGTTTGCTGTTTTTAAGAGCCTTTAAAGTTATTGTGTACTGTTAAATATCCAAGAGAGGGGTGGTGTATGCCTTATTTCCCAAGCATACCTGATAATGAGCCTAATATTGTTAGGACATAATTATCTCCTTTATGAAACACATTTGGAAAAACTGGATTAAACACTTTGCAGATATAACTATTATTTTCCAAATTTTAAATGGCATATGCATATGATCAGATTATTAATTTGGACCTGATGAGGCTAAGTTCTACATCTAAATTAAAAATTATTTTTATTAATCAATACTTAAAGCAGGGCCAATTATCTCAGAATTTCACTTGAGTCCAAAAGATAACAAGCAATCTTTTATTCAACTGGCTTGTGTTAACTATACTCCAAACTTCAGAAAGGAAAATGTGAAGTCCACATCATATGAATGACACATCTGAAGTACTCTTAATTCTAATAGCAATATAGTTTTTAATATAGCATGAGCACTAATAATAAATGCCAAGTAAGACAGTCCTCTATCAATCATGCACAGTAGCTATTTATATTATAATATCTTTGCTATTATTTAACATTGGTTATTTCAACAAAAATATCATGTCAAATTTTAGATAAGCAAATTTCTCCCAAAGTTACATAAAGGAGATAAGTGTTGACTTGAAGTTAGAACGCCTGCTTGAGTCCCAACTAAATAATACTTTGTACTAGCAGTACAAAGAGAACTTACCACTCATCATCCCATCTACAATAGAGGATTAATAATATACCTATCCCACAAAATTTTTAGAAGAATTAAGTGAAAACTTTATGTAAACTTGAAAGCTCTCCAAATTGTTATTTATGTTTCAAGAAAGCCTTACAAATGGAAACGGTATACAAATAAATGATGTAGAATACTAAAATAATAATGTTTAAATGATCATTTTGTGGATTCTTACCAGTTAATGTCTCCTTATAGGGAGCATTGGCTGCTGCAATACATTCTGACAAGGCTTGACTTTGTTCATCATAAGACATCACAAAGAGAAAGTCACAAGCATCTGCAATTCCAGTATAATTATAGCACCTGTCTTTGCACTTTGGAGACCAAGTTACATCAAAGGTTACCTGTGGAAAAACACATACCATTTTATGTAACATGATCAAAGATGCTTATTATGTCAGTTGTTTTTTATTATATATATATATATATATATATTTCACTTCACACTACCCAAGAAAAAGACCTGCTTAACATATATGAACACAGGGTTTGACGCTTATAGACGTAGAACAGTTCTAAGATATTTTTACCCACATGGATTAACCCAGACATATATTTGAACAGATACAATGACCAGGAGCAGGGCACTGTGTAGAAGAGGGATTTTAAATGTCTTCAGAGGCTAGCCTGGTCACTCAGGTGATTGAAAGAAATAGGTGTAATGACAATAGGGTGTAGTGGGGCCTCTAAGCCAACTAGAGAGTAAGAGCACTCTAAAATAACTCAAGTAAAGAAAAATTTCAAAATATTGTGTGGGCTAGATAGCTTAAATGTCTTGGAACAAGTTGACTGTCCTGTGTTGGGAGTTTAATATTCAATTACATTACATGATAGGTTTAATCCAACACTATAGTTAAAGAAGAGTGGTTTATGGCTATAGGGATAAGCTAATCAACTCAAAATGTTGAACAAATCACTTAAATAGTCTTATTTAATGGGAATATTCAAATAAAACTTGAGTGATGAATTACCTTTCATTTTTGTGAGCCAGTCTTCAACAAAGATGAGTCTCTTTAAAATATTTATTGCCTTAACCAGATATTAGCCTTATTTTATATTAGGGCAAATGTTCTAAAGCTTCATTAAAGGTTTCTTATTCCTTTAGGCTCTCATTAAACACATTAATTATTACAAAAATTGAGATAGTTCAATTAAAACTTTTTATACTTTGGTCAATTTATTGTTATAACTCTTTAGGAGACTGTCACAATTCTACAATTCTCTAAGTATTAACACTAAGGAAGCTCAGCTTTACAAGTGCAAACTTTCCTCAATAGCACTACAACAAAATAGGTTATAAAGTGAATTTTTTACACATCCAATCCCATTTTATCACTGCTTCCTACTATAAAATGGGAGCTATACTATAGTAACAGAGGAACAAAATGATAACCTCCAAAAAGGAAAATCTCAAATCCATTGTATAAATCCTTACCTCTCCTGAGCATTAGTGTTTTTACCTGGGGCACTTGGGTGGCTTAGTCGGTTAAGCATCTGATTCTTGATTTCGGCTTAGGTCATGGTCTCACGGTTAGTGAGTTCAATCCCCACATCCAGTGAGCTTGAACCCTGCTTCTGGTGAGCATAAGCCCCACATTGGTGAACGCGAGCCCCACTTCCCTCTCTCTCTGCCCTCTCTGCCCTCATTCACTTGTACCCTTTCTCTCCCTCAAAAAAAAGAAAAAAAGTATTTTTTTCCTGGATTTCTAGTCATGGTTAATCTCCTATTTTTGAGAAAGCAGCATTCATATATTAGACAAATCAGAACAATTTTGGTTATAGTCTTGGCTCTGTTATAACTAGGTCTGTGTCACTAAAAACATCTGAATTGGTTTTCCTACCTGTAAAAAATGATGGTGTGGAAAGAACTCTTCAGGAAGATTTCTAGCTCTTCAGTTCTATGACCATAATTCTGTAATATTAATCATCATTTCCCCAAACTTCATTTCGCCTTCCAGACTCTATTTTAGTCACTTTATTTGGTGGCCAGTTTAAGAACTTTAAGGCTATTATCTGACTTCTCTCACACCTCATAACTAATTTCACATTTTCCTTTGGGTGACTTCCCACAACTGGTTCTGCTTCTTTCTTTCCATTAATTCAATATTTATTGAACACTTCCTGAGTGTTTGGATTAGGATGATGGCATAACCCAAACTATAAATCTCAAGTTATTAGACTTGGATTAGTCCTTACTGGTTTCCATTTCTCCTCTAGACTATTTTACATACTAATATGGAATAACCTTCCCAAACACTTTCTACCATGTAACCGATTACATACAGAATAAAATGTATATGCTTCATTCTGACATTCTGGATCTTCCACAATCTGGCCTGCCCTGGCAACTGTACCTCCAACTAATTTTGATACATGAATTTGACATAGTAGGCCAAATTGTTCTACTTGCCCTTCAAACATGGAATTAGATACTCCTATTGCAAAGTCTGCTCAATTTCTTCCTCTCAGCCCTTTCACTATAGCATAATCTGGGCTAGCAAAGAGGTTGTGTCCCTTACACTAATTCTAACTGTTCTCTTAGTAACAGCAATCTAGAGAATGAAGGAAACATTTTCTGAGAACAAAATTTGTGAGGAGAGGAGTATGGTGACCTGCATACCAGATATTTGCTTTCTTGATCTAAATTGTATTCATCTGGGGGAGCCTGGGTGGCTCAGTCGGTTAAGCGTCTGACTTCAGCTCAGGTCATGGTCTCATGGTTCATGAGTTCAAGCCCCGTGTTCAGCTCTGTGGTGACAGCTCGGTGCCTGCTTTGGATTCTGTGCCCCTCTCTTGCTCTGCCCCTTCTCCACACATTCTTGCTCTCTCTCTCAAGAATAAATATTTAAAAAATTGTTTTCAATGTATTCATCTGAGGAGGAAGGGTCTAAGACTGTGACGTAGGAAAACCCAGAAATCATCTGCTTTAAAGACATACCAAATCTACACCTACTTATAGAGCAATCTTTCCTAAAGAACTGATGACTGACTGAACAGCTTTTACAACAGAAGATAAACACACCACCTAGAAGACAGCAAGAGAGTTGTAGACACAGGTACAAAGGAGGTCCCCACCCCCCTGATGCTGCTAACTGCAGTGGGGAGGGTTATATTCTGGAGGATGGTGAGCAGATTTGTCTGCCTTGGGGAACAGGAGGAAAAAAGCAACTGTTTAACAGATCAATTAGAATATACAAAATCCAGCCCTAGAACTTTGTCAAACAGTGGAGGAGCTGCTAGAACTCTTTGGGTCAGAAGGGCTGGCAAGTACCATGGTTTACATTCCCTTACTACCTTGACATCATGAATAGGAGCAGGGCCTGGGTGGGTACCCAAGCCAGCCTACCACCTCAGGAAAACCTGGGCTCCTAGTGCACACCAGCCCAACCCATCCCACAAAGCAGATCAAAAACAGGGCACATAAGACAACCCTGCTCAGCACTTACTACAGTTGCAGCTTTCTCCCCAAGGTGACAGAGGTGCACAACACCCTAGAACATTGCAGGCCTGCACTGTTTTGGCTCCAGGCAATTTGCCAGGGCACCCGCCATCCCTTCAGCAAAGCACCCTGAGACACCCTGGCCTGTGCCTGCCTCGGCTCCAGCCACCGTGCCAGGGCACCCCTGCACAGATGCCCTGAGAAATCCACCTATTTAAGCTTCAGCTGTCCTACCAGGGCACCCTCTGCACAAAGAGCCCTGGGACTGTCCCAGCCCATGCCCACCTCAGTTCTGACCATCCCACCAGGGTGGCCCCAGCCTGCAAGGGAGCTCATGCCAGCCACCACTCCAGTCAGCTGGCCAAAATTACTAGGTGCACACAATCTACACAGGATGATCACACACAAGACCATTCCTTCGAGTTTAGAAGTAGCTATTCCACCTAATTCATAGAACCAAACAGAAAGTTAAGCAAAATGACAAAGAAGAATATGCTCCAAACAAAAGAACTCAGAAAAGGAATTAAATGAACATAAGCTATCTATCCAATAAAGATTTCAAAGTAATAGTCATAAATATGCTTACTAGAGAAGAGTGGATAAAGTCAGAACATTAAAAGGAGACAGAAATTTTTTTTTTAAAATCAGAGTTGAATATGGTAACTGAGATGAAAGATACACAAGAGGGAATCAAGAGTGGATTAGAGAATGCAGAAGAATGGACTGGCAATATAGAAGACAGGGTAATGGAAAGTACTCAATCTGAACGGCAAAAAGAAAAGAAAAAATCTTTAAATGGGCATAGGGTAAGGAGTATCTTGGACATCAAGTGAATAAGCATTCGCATTCTAGGGGTTCCAGGAGAAGAAGAGGGAGAGGAGGGCCAGAAAATGTATTTGAAGAAATAATAGCTGAAAATGTCCCTAACCTGGGGAAGGAAACAGACATCTAAGTTCAAGAATCACAGAGAGTTCCAAATAAGATGAACTCAAGGAGGTCCACTACAAGACAATAATAATTAAAGTGTCAAAGATTAAAGACGGAATTTTAAAAACAGCATAAGGAGTTAGTTGCATACAAAGGTTAAAGCTATTTGCTGAGTTTTTAGCAGAAACTTCATAAGCCAGAAAGAACTGGCATGATCTATTCAAAGAATGGAAAGGAAAAATCCTCCAAGAATACTCTACCTGGAAAGGTTATCATTCAGAATTAAAGGGGAGAGAGAGAGTTTCCCAAACAAAAATTAAAGAAATTTATCACCACAGTTACAAGAAATGTTCAAGGGACTCCTTTACATGGAAAAGGAAAAGACCATAATTAGAAAATTAGGAAAAATTTCATCAGTAAAAGGAAATACAATAAAGGTAGAACAATCGCTTAATAAAGCTATTATGAAGGTTAATATACTACAAAAGTAAAGTCAGTTATATCTAAAAATGTAGCAATGGGACTCACAAAATAAAAAGACATAAAATGAGGGGGAGAAAAATGGAGTCTATACAAAATGTGTTTGAACATAACTGACCAACTTATTATAGACTGATACATACTTAAGATATATGAACCTCTTGGTAACCACAAACCAAAAATCCATAATAGATACACAAAAAATGAAAAGAAAGCAAAAAGTCATCCATCACAAAGAGAGCTAGAAGACAAAAACTACAAAAAAAAATCAGAAAACAAAATACAATAAGTACATACGTATCAATAATTACTTTAAATATGAATGGTCTAAATACTTAAATCAAAAAACAAAGTGACAGGATGGTTGGAAAAAAAAACAGACCCATTGATATGTTCCTGCAAGAGACCCATTTCATACCTAAAACTACATATGGACTGAAATAAGGATGAAAAAAATACCCGTGCAAATGGAAGGAAAGAAAAAGGTGGGCCAGTACTTCTCTCAGACATAACAGACTTTATTTTTTTTTTCTTACAAATAGTTTATTG